CCCTGATTTACAATGAAGGTTGAGATCTAACTTCAGTGTTAGGTAATTGTAAACGCGAATTGTATACTTTGGTCCCCTTGCGAATGAAGAGGATACAACAACCCCATTCAAAAGAATAATGAAGAAAACAAGCAACACTGGGCATTTGTTGAACAAACTCATCTCGGTGAATTTATTGGAGACGAAAGAAAGAGATCTTAAACTTGTGGCTAGTGTTTGCAGTATTACTCTTATTTATATATGTAACAATGATGGAACAGAACAATATAGTATTTTTTAGAACCTTATTTAGAAAATTATTTTTCGAAAATTAACCTTATTTAGAAAATTATAAGGTTAATTAATTTAGAAAAAATACATTAACCTTATTTTATCATTTAGAAAAAATTATAAGGTATTTGTGGACTTAAAGTATTTGTGGTTAAATACTTTTTTCTAAATTATATTTGTAGAAAAAGTATTAACAACCACCTTGTAATCATCATGAAAAGAATGGCATTGTATTTGTTACATGGTATTTGTAATACTTTTTGTAATCATCATGAAAAAGAATTGTATTTGTTACATGGTATTTGTAATCATCATGAAAAGAATGGCATTCTAAATTATATTTATTACATGGTATTTGAAATTCTTTTTTTTTTTTTATAATAATTTAGAAAAAAATTATAATAACCATGTAACCTTATATTACATGGTTATTATAATTTAGAAAAAATTATAAGGTTAATTAATTTTGAAAAAATTATAAGGTTAATTATAAGGTTACTTAATTTAGAAAATTAACCTTATTTTAGAAAATTATTTAGAAAATTAACCTTATTTAGAAAATTATAGAACAATATGTAATTAACCTTATTTAGAAAATTATAGTATTTTTTCTCCAAATTTAATTCCTTTAATCATGTTTGAATTTTTGGCATGAAATAACATCAAATGGGTTAATTAATTCCTTTAATCATGTTTGAATTTTTTGGCATGAAATAACCAAAAATCGTGGGAAATAACAATCATATATTTTTGGCATGAAATATTCCCCCAATAGTGGGAATAAGCAAGAAGAGAGAAATGGGACAACCACGTTAACATTGTTAAAGTATGTTGAATTTTCTTTATTTCAAAATGGTGCAGCTTTTAATTTTTTTCAAACTTTCTTTAAATTAATTGACTTAATTTAACAAAGCAGTAGATAGATTTTAAATGGCACGTGTCAATTTACAGAGAGAATTCAACTTAAGATATTGGATTACAAAGATGTCCCACAAACTCATTGACTTTTTAAAGCACAACAACCATTAGATTAAAATAATTTTTTATACCATACGCAACATGCTACCATGATTAAGGATGCTCTACGTTTTAAAGTAGAAGGTTAAAGTTTAAATCGCATTAGAAAAAATAAAAAGAAAAAAAAATTGAGTGTATAATCTCTTGTCAATATAAATTAGAAAATTAAATAAAAAATGATCCAGCATAAATACCATCAAATGGGTTTAGACAAGGCAGTATAGGCCGACCTGGGCCTCATTTCCTTTACATTTGGGCCTTGTTGTTGTTGTTGTTTAACCTTCGGCTAACACTGCCTATTTTCTGTAGCTACATTGTTCATATATGTTAAAATTTTAACTTTCGAAAAAAAATAAATAAATAAAAATAAAAAACAGTTGACTCTTTCCATTGCTCCAAATAAGAAGAAGAAGAAGAAACTAAAAAAGTTATAAACTTAAGTTCCATTAAAAAGCTAAAATAGGGCTTATTAAAAATAAATAAATAAGAAAAGAAAAATAGAGTTAGAATAGTCATTTGACAACTTTTTTTAAAAAATAAGAAGATTGTTTATAAGGTAAAATTATTTTATAATCCAATAAGTATATAAAATGAGAAGTAGAATGAGAGGTATTTATGGAAATTTTGACCTCTGCTTCAAAATCTAAAAGGATTAGGAGGTTAATCATAAGTTTTGAGGAGGCCACCTATTAAATCTTTGGATAAAATTCTCATTTATTATTAAATTATTTTTTCTTTTATTTAAATATTAATTATAATATTTACCTTAATTTTATTATTAGTATCAATTTATTATTAAAAAAAAAAAAGATAAATAGAAAACTACTATTTTTTAAAATGATTAACTTATTATTACTATTGTCTTATTTATAACAAAACTTATTATAACAAGTTTAAACTTTTTTATTGTAGAAAAATATCTTCTTTTTTATATAATATATTGATGAAAAATTAATAAATTAAAAAAAATCTTCTTTCCATTTAATATATTCATTAAAAATTTAAAAATTAATTAATAATTTAAAAAGTTTCTACTAAAGATTTTTATTTAAATAATTAATTAAAAAAATTGAAGGCAAATTTGAATAAGAAAGAACATTATGATTATTTAATGAAATTTAGTATAGACATTGTGGTATTTTGTAACAAAATTTAATAATTTAAAATATATAATGCATAAAATATAATTCAATAAGTTATTTATAAATTCAAACAGACAATTTTTATTTTTATATATATTTTTATTTTTATTTTTATTTTTTATTTTTGGTACTACACCCTATAAATACTAAATTAAGTGTTATGGTAAACAAGAAGAAGAATATACCCATCATATTCGTTGACCATGTGAGTTGCAACAAGCTTGTAAAGAAAGGGCAAAAAAAATAGACCCCCGTGGTACCAGATTACTCGCTCATACGAGATTATGCGATAGTTGCGAGACTGGGTCCACTATTGAGGCTGTTGACCATTATCGAAGCATTAATGGAGGGACTATGTAGATTGGACGGTTTAAACGGCTAGATCGTTATGCCATTAAAGTGGTAAGATAGTACTGAGGGTAGAATATCAACTACATGAATGGTACGCAATTGGATAGTTTCCTTTTTACGCTTATCCAAGCGGGCACGCTTTACAAAATATCGCCATTACCTGCGCAACCCACCCGTCCTAAGGCGCGTGATGTACAAACTGTATCTTTATTTTGGCCGAGTGAAAGAAGGAAAAAACATATCAACAATATAATACTTCTGAGTGGTTCCTCCAAATTTAGTCGATCAGTTTTTTTCTGTCTCAAAATATTTGATTAGTTTAAACATGATTACTTATATATTTAAACTTTAAAAAGTAATTTAGTAATTTTCAAACTTATATGGGAGTACACTTAAAAATATATATATATTTTTTCAAAAATTAAAGGAAATAATAAAATACATCACTCGAATTGAAGGTAAATTATTGTCAGACAACTCTTACTATTAAAAGAAATATTTATTACAACACGTGTCGAACTCTTTATTGGGACTTGACCCCTCAATCTCTCCTTTGGAGGAAAGAGGGGAACAAACTATCCATACTAAAGGGGCAATGGTAGAGACTGGACAGAATATTGTTAGGCAACCCTTCAACAAACTTTTAAAAATAATAAAATAACTTGCATCATTGTTCTTGAGATTAACTTTAATCCCAATATTATAAGTTTATTAATTGATAATCAGTAGTTTGCATTTTCAAGTCTTACTTTTAACTCGTCTAAAAATAAACACTTTTTTCATCTCATTTCATTTATCTTAAACTTTTTCAATCATAAACAGTAACAGACCTAGAAAATATTGTGAGGGGGGTTGGCTCTTAATTTGTGCGGGCAAATTTTTATAGTGGGTTATTTTCATAAATTAAAAAAAAAATAAAATAAAAAAGAATTTCAGTGGTGAATTGTAATTTTAGTGGGAGCATATTCATAAATTTTCAAAAATGTAAAATATAAAATGCAAATATATATATATATATATATATATTTATTTATTTATTTATAAAGTATGGGCGAATTGTAATTTTAGTGGAAGCATTTTCATAATTTTGAAGTATAAAATACAAAAATAAAAAATCGAGTGAGGGCATTGTGGGTTCGTGCTTAATCATAAATACCCGATTCCATAGTGGGTAATTTTCAAAAAAATTCAAAAAATTGAAGTATAAAATGCCAAAAAAAAAAAAAAATGAATTTCAGTGGGATAATTGTAATTTTAGTGGGGGCATATTCATAAATTTTCAAAATTTTGAAATATAAAATGCCAAAAAATATATATATATACAGTGGGAGCAAATTGTAATTTTAGTGAAAATATTTTCATAATTTTGAAGTATAAAATACAAAAATAAAAAATCCAGTGAGGACATTGTGGGTCTATGCCTGATCATAAATACCCGATTCTATGGTATCTGAATGATGAAGGCCTTAAACTTGGACATACAATTTCACCTATTAGGTTAAGTTCTTTTTGATAGAATGATAATTTTTCGATTGATTCCTTATAATTAGTATTAGAGTAAACACATTTCTTAGTTGATATCCACGATCTCCTTCTCTTCAGAGAGGGATGGGTTAATAGAGTAGGCTCACATCACATCTAAATGTAAAGAATTTTGAATTCATGAGGACCTCATATCAAATTAGGTCGGGTGACCGATTACAACTTATAAGTAAATAATATTTTATCATAAGTAAATAGTACTTCTTTATTTCTAAAATAAGTGTCACCCTTTTTATTTTTATGATTGTATTTGAAAAGTCAATTTAATATTTTTTGTAATATTATTAATTTAACTTTCATTCATTAATTCTACAAAAAATAACCCATCATATCAATGACCTACTCAGAATAATTTGATAATTTACTCATTATTAATATAATAATAATATTTTACTCTTAAAAATTAAATTAAAAAAAAAAAAAAAGAACGATGGAGGAGTAATTTAAATGGTTATGCGCCAAGGGAAAATAACTTCTAAATTTTTAACAAAAAAAAATAAAAATAAAAAAATAACTTCTAAATATATATATATATATATATATATATATATATATATATAATTTCAATGGTTTTCGACCAAGGTAATTAAATTTATGCAAGTGTATTCCATGCGCTGAAATTGAGCGTTCAATAGATATCTCCATTCTAGAAAGCCCCATTGCAGCCTTCAGCGTCACTAAAACTGAAAATCACTGGCACCGCCACATCTTGTCTGGTCTTTCCTCTTTCCGATAAACTTTGCATTCACTAACCTCCAAATTTATAAAACCATACATATCCACACATACATAGTATATATCTATACATATTTATACATATATATAGTACCGATCTCTCTTCATTGTAACTGTTCATTTGATACAAACACAAAGCTTTTTGAGATAATTTTAGAGAGAGAGAGAGTCATGGAGAAAGCGATTGAGAGACAAAGAGTTCTGATCCAACATCTTTGTCCTTCTTCTACATCTTCTTCCCTCGAAAACATTGAATCTTCGCTCTCTGTAAGATCAGTTCCAATCAATAATTTTATTATCTCGAAAATTCAATTGGTTTTGGAAGCTTTGGAAACACGTGTTCTTGTATATATATTGCTAATTGTGTTTGTATAGTAGTTTGAATTTTGCGAATTTTAATATGATCCTATGTGGTTTGATTGAATTTTTATTGTTCAATTGAAATTGTACTGGATCTGGTGATCACATATACGTGTTTTGTTCTGTTTAAAAATAGACGACCTTGAGGCATCGAATGATATAGAGTATTTGTTTGATGGAAAATCATTTATATAAAGAATTTTTCGCCAGAAAACAAAAATTATTTAGTCGTAAAGATAATTAAAATTGACCGTGAAAAGTTCACTTTTTGAGCTAATTGATGAAGCTAGAGCGATGAATTTTATTTCATCTGAATATTTTTGCCGGAATTATTCTGTGTCAAAACGGACACGGGCAGAAGATATAACGAGATGGTCATCAAAGTTTGTTGCATTTGTGTACTTCTTCAGATATATCTTCGTTCTTATTATCATTGTATTTTATTTTTATTCGTTACCCTCCATTTATAGCTGGAATTTTGGCTCTCAAGTTTCATTTTAGGACTACAAAATAGAGATGGCATCCTGAGCAATTAGGAATGTTTAGCAAATTATTTATCCGTCTGATTTCATGTCAATGATGGAGACACAAATACCCTTTTTATGTATGCACCTATCAACTATTCCCTTTTGTTTTTGATCTGAATTGAGGCTTATTCTTCACAACCAGGCATCTTTTTGTTCTGCTGGTGACAGTGCTGCATATCAGAGGACCTCTGTCTTTGGGGATGATGTTGTAATTGTAGCGTAAGTAGCTCTGCTGTTGTAATAATATCTTTGAATCAATTGTGGTAATCAGCTTGTCTATACTTCAATACTATAAGGATCATTTGTGCATTTTTCTGAAGTTCTTTTCATTTTGAGCAGTGCATATCGGACTCCACTTTGCAAGTCTAAGAGGGGTGGTTTCAAGGATACTTATCCTGATGACTTGCTTGCACCAGTTTTGAAGGTTTGTTTGTTTGTTTATTTTTATTTACTTTTGCCTTTTTTCACTGCAATCTATAGATCAGATTGATGAAACTGAAATCACTTTATTCTCATGATGAATGTTGGTTCAGGCATTGATAGAAAAAACGAATCTGAACCCAAGTGAAGTAGGGGACATTGTTGTGGGCACGGTACTGGCACCAGGGTCCCAAAGAGCAAGTGAATGCAGGATGGCTGCATTCTATGCTGGATTCCCTGGTATAATTCTTTTCATTTATTCATGTGGTTTTGGTTTCCTCCCGTTTCAACTTGCATCATTGATATATTTGTTACTTGTATCACTCAGAAACTGTCCCGGTTAGAACGGTGAATAGGCAATGTTCATCTGGCCTTCAAGCAGTTGCTGATGTAGCAGCTGCTATTAAAGCTGGATTTTATGACATTGGTAAGGGATACATTTGTTCTTAGGGATGTCTTATAGCTATATTTGATGCAAACATAGTGCCTATTCTATTATTTTGTATTTAAAATATAATTCTTTTTCCAAAATAGGAATTGGAGCTGGATTGGAGTCCATGACAACAAATCCAATGGCTTGGGAAGGATCAGTTAATCCAAGGGTAAACTCTGTCTCACACACACACACACACACACACACAAACCCAGATTTTTGCTTGCATAAGTTCTTTTGTGAAAGCAATTTCCTTAACAAGATATTTGTATGAGCTGACTACTTCTTCCAATTATTACACCAGGTGAAATCGATGGTCCAAGCGCAAAATTGTCTTCTTCCCATGGGTATTACTTCAGAAAATGTTGCCCATCGTTTTGGTGTAACAAGGCAGGAGCAGGACCAAGCTGCAGTAAGTTGAATGGATCTGCCCCTCTTGTGGTTGTTCCAATATACTTACATTATTAATATCCTTGTATTTTGTTGTTAGGTCGAGTCACATAGGAAGGCTGCTGCTGCAACATCTTCTGGTAAATTTAAAGATGAAATAATTCCTGTACCCACCAAGGTAGCAATTGTCTCTTTGCAGTTCTGGTGATATTGCAATATCATTCAACTTCTATTCAATGTATTTTTTGGGTATATATGGTCTTTGTTTTGGCGTTGATATGAATTTTCGTTGAAAAAGATTGTTGATCCTAAAACGGGAGACGAGAAACCTGTTACAATCTCCATTGATGACGGAATTCGGCCAAATGCAACAATCTCAGATTTGGCAAAACTGAAGCCCGTATTTAAGAAAGATGGGACGACCACTGCTGGTATTTTAAAGCACTACATATGCAAATTTTATTTGAGAAGTACATTGATTTATGCAAATTTTATTTGAGAAACACAGATATTTATTGTGTTGACCTTTGTTGCTTATATCTTAGGTAATTCTAGCCAAGTGAGTGATGGTGCTGGAGCCGTCCTCCTCATGAAACGAAGTGTTGCAATGCAGAAAGGATTGCAGATTCTTGGCGTGTTCAGGTATGTAACTCCTAGATTATGTGTCGTCAATAATCTAGAGTAAGTTTGGCTATGCTAGAAGCCTTAACCATGTTTAGACCCCCTTTCCCTTTAAATTACAAGCCCATATAGTTTCATAAAAAGGGTTGGTCGGAGGACATGTGAGTGTCCGGCAATTTATTGAATCCAATAGTCTAAATGTCTTTTGAAGTGGTACACTAGCTTGCGTAACATAAAACCAAAAAAAATTGCTTAAATGTTAACCGGTCTTGCATATCATTCACCACTACATTAGCTTGCATAATGGTTATTAACTTGTTCAGTGGCGTTTGAAAGTAAGAATTTATATGAAGTCTCTTGTCAGCCTACCTAGAAATGATACCCATATTTCAATTGATGTCTCTAGCCCCCCCCCAACAACACAAAACACCCACACCTACCTACCACACAACCCACCCCAAAATAAATCCTTGATCAAGATTATCCATTGAGCAGTTGAATGGAGCATGAGGGCAGCAGTTACGTGTTATCACAAATTTTCCAAGACTTTTCACGATAGTTCAATTGCCATCACTGTTAAGTTGCTGGACATCTTGTGCCCTTTGTTCTCTATGACATCTTTCACCATACCATTATCATTCATGGCCTTTATATCATTGGTCCTTGTCTTGCATGTTGGTTCAATTTAAGTTCATCTCAGGTTATTCAACACATGAAGTCAGTAACATGATTCCTTATCCTTCCTTCTATGATCAGCTGTAAAAGACCCCTCCTTAAATTAAATTATTGGCAATCTTGTCACGATCTCTAACCAAGATCTTTTTGTAAGCAATTAACTGATTTTTAATTTATTCTATGTAATATTTTCTAACAACATTTTCTGAAATTAATCAACATGGTCAGTTTTATGAGAGTTAAATTTCCTGAGGAACAATTACTGAAGATGTTACTTTTTTATTCTATTACATTGATAATTCAAAGCCATGTTCTTCAGCTGAGAATCTGAGATGGTTTTGTCATATATCACACACTAATGGATGATAATCATGAGATCTGATAAATTTACTATTTAATCCAAACGCTTGCAAACTAATGAAGTATTGCATAATGACCACTTCGAATAAAGTTGGCACCTTATTCGAGGCAGAGGCATCATGCTGAATCCGCCATTATATTTTCTTTTCTGCTTTAGCCACGTCAATTCAGTCATCAAGCACCAATCTCTGCATTGGCTCTTGATATTCCAAAGTATACACTGGGAAACTAATGTCCTTACAGTTGCCATCTTTCTGTGGATGTACCCTCTGGATGAAGAGAAAAGTGGAGATACTAAAGTATTACGAATAATGGTGTTGTACTTGCAGGACCTTTGCTGCTGTTGGTGTAGACCCTGCTATTATGGGTGTTGGCCCAGCTGTTGCAATTCCAGCTGCAGTGAAGTCTGCTGGTCTAGAACTTGATGATATTGATCTTTTTGAGATAAATGAGGTATGATTACATAAATTCTTGTCTGTTTTATTATTTTTGATTTTATAGACTTCTAAAATGCGTAACTATTCCAATGTTTATTGCTCTGTGGGCAGGCATTTGCTTCCCAGTTTGTCTATTGCCAGAAGAAGCTGGATCTTGATCCACAAAAAATCAATGTTAACGGAGGTGCTATGGCCATTGGGCATCCTTTGGGAGCAACAGGTGCATTAACACACATTTAAACTTACATAGACTCTGCTACCCATGATTTCAAATTACTTTATTAATTACTAAAACACTGAAGGTAAATTGTTAATATATCATTTGAAAGAGAAGTCTCCATCTTTCTATATTATTGTCTTGGGCAAATAGGTCTTCTCAAGAGAAATTTTCCTTGTACAAGAATTCCTTATCTCAACTAATCTGTTCTATTTTTATTCATGAATATATAATTTATCAATCTATGTATAGATATAAGATCACACACGATGCAGGTTTTCAGCAATACGTTAGAATTTTTTGCAAGTTTTTGAAGTAATTATTCAGTAAACATGTCATAGGATTTTGTCTGATCTACAGGGGTTTTCATGTCAAGTCATTTAGCATGTGTCAAGTTAGGATCTTGTCTTTTATCTCTATATTCAGTGAAAAATGTAGGCATTGATCTAGGAAGCAATATATAGACAATTATAGGAAACACGAATACTTTAAAGCATGTATGTTGCGGAAAAGTTGATCAATTTGAGAGTAAATGCTTCCTCTCCAAGAGGAACTTTGCAATGAAAATGAATGCTTTGTCATCAATATTTTCAATCTGCACATTCTTTAATGCAGCCATTCACTTTCCTGTTTAGACAATTAATCTGTTAGATATAGTGTAAAAACATGAAGAACGAGAAGTTTTATTTCATGGATAACAATATGACAGTAGTTTTCACTATCGCCAACATGATTTAGAGCTATTTTAATATGCTATACCTTGTAGCCTGCACTCTCCATTGCTTGATGCTACTTAAAATGCCATTTTCACGTATCCTTTTACTTTCTAAGGAATTTTACATTTTATTTATTTATTATATACTCAACTTTTATGGTAACCGTTTATTTATTTATTTTTTTAAAAAAAAAAAAGAAAATTAGAAAAGTATCTAGTGAAATCAAGTACTACGAGATAGTCTTATCTTTGCTGAAGTATATTTCTGCAAACACTGAATTCATTAAAAAAAAAAAAAAAATGCCAGGCATTATTCTTTGTTTAAGAAGGAAGGTGTGTTGGCATGATGATTCTAAGAAGGTTTAGCACAGAGAGAGAGAGATGATCTGGTTCAGTAAATAATGAGCTCTGTGGCTAAATTTGGTGACTCAAGAAGTGCTCCTACTGGGAGCTCAACATGATTATTCTTTTTGGTTGAAAAGGTTCAGTATTAAATATATATGACTCTTGGACTACTCTTGGACTAGGCTCCCTTAGTAGTCCTTTCCATTTATATAATACTTCACCTAGAAAAGGGAAAGAAAATAAAATTTTATAATACCTGAGTGGATGCTTTTTTCCTGGAGGTAACACTTGACAAATTCTCTTATTTCTCCAGTGGCATTCTTGATGTGTTATATTGGACATCTAAATGTTGTTGTATCGTGCCTTGCACAAATTTTAGTTGTACTTCAGATATTTTGAGGCTTAAAAGGAGAGCAACTCCTTTTTGGTCAAGCAACTGCTTTGTATATGTGTTGGTGACATGAAATTGTTCAGTGCAATTCAAATTGGAAAGTGTTTGTGTTGGTGGCTGACAAGTTTGTTCATGTAAAAGAGCAAATATAACCAAGTTGATTTATAGTGATGTTTGGTTTTTATTATTAGTTTGGTTAAGTTATTTTAATTTGAGCATATTAATAAAATAGAAATCCTTATAGCTGCTACTCATCCATGACCAAAGATGAGAACCAATAACTTAGATGTATTTCAAATGTAGTTTTTCTGAGTCTCGTCTCTCTGTTACAGGAGCTCGATGTGTCGCAACTCTATTGCATGAGATGAAGCGCCGTGGTAGAGACTGCCGCTTTGGAGTGATCTCTATGTGCATAGGTGCTCTCTCTCTCTCTCTGTGGGACTATATTGGTTGAACATATGGTTTACCAGGGATATTTGAAATTAATTGCAGGCACAGGAATGGGGGCAGCTGCTGTTTTTGAAAGAGGAGACTGTGTGGACGAACTCCGCAATGCCCGAAAAAGTGACACCAACAATCTTTTATCCAAGGATTGTCAATAGAATCAATTCATCCCGCTCTTTTACTCACCATTTTCTTGTTCTCAATAATCTCACAGCTGGTGGTGGGAGTCCCTTCAAAGCATTGTAATAAATTATATGGAACTTTTTTTTTCCAGGCACAGTTTCATGTATGAGAACCATGTTCGAAAATTTTAGTTATTTTTAATGTGAAAGGTTCTTTTATCCAGTCCAGTCCTGTGATTTCTTTCTGCGGCCTCATTGCTGAGACTCTACAACTTGTGTCTTTTTGTAGCCTCAACGTCATGGAATTGGTAACTGTTATGTTTGGTAGAGAACCTTGTTAGTCATTAGTTCTGATCACCATAGTCATAAAATCTGAATTTGAAAAACAGAGTACATTTTTTTTTGCAAAATTCGGCCGAAATCGTATTGGAACTGAATGAAATTTCTTTCAATTTTTTAATAACAATAACCCAAAAAAAAAAAAAAAACCCCGGAACATTACTAGCTCTATTTCAATTTCAAGGCATCAAGTCACAAATACGGCTAATGAGATGGAAACGAAAATACTGTGATTGGAGAATTAGAATCCAAAATTTCCACCTTTGAAATCCCCACCTAAATCCACAACTGTTGTCAATTACTTCCATCCGTCCACCAGTTGGTTTCAAGATTAGGAAGGAAAAGAGAAAAGAAATAAACTGATTTTTTCTTTTGTCCTCTATTTTTATTTTTACTCTGAAATGAACTTGGGGAAAAAAATATTTCTCAGAAGTCATTGAAATATAAGGGAAACAAGCAGGAAAATGACAGATTTCTCGCATACCATCTTCATATTTTTGATCATTTGATGCTTTTAGAAGTTATATTAGGCCTCTTTGTTAGGCAGGTTGTTAGTGAAATTTGGTCACAGAAAAGCTCAGATGGTGACATTCTCCATTGCAGTTAGGCTTGCCTCATAAATTTACCAAACAATTGGGTAAAGACTCGATTCAATGCAGTGAAAAACTCGGTTAGGGTCTGACCATAGCCACGTAGTTTGAGTTAGGATCAGTCCCTGTCAACCCTAGGGCTAATGTTTCACCCCAAGGTTCATCAATCCCTGTCAACCCTAGGGCTAATGTTTCACCCCAAGGTTCAGCATGCTCACATGGGTAACCACACGGATAAGTTGCCGGTGGATTGTGAGGTGTTGGGTGTGCTTTGAGGTGGAGGTGTTGAGTGTGCTTTGAGGTGGATTAGTCAAGTTGAGCCCTGGACTTGCCCGCTGCACGTGGCTTGTGAGGGTATTGCGTGTGCTCTCACCCGCAAGGTGTGAGGGGATACCTCCTCTATGAAAAAAAAAATAAAAAAAGGAGAGAAATGTTCAGCATATGCAGAGGCCTATACTACACCTGTAAAAGCCTGTGGAGCAATCCAATTCCATGTTCACCAAATGCCCAAAAACTTTCTACCTCTGCAGTCTATCCTTAAATTTCTTTTCCTCCAATGTACATTTTCCATCACTGATGTAACTTTCAGTTGTCAAGTTAAATGAAACAAAAGACAAGTCCACACTTGAAAAATGGGACTTCCAACAATTGAAAAATACATCACGGTGTGAAAAATCCTCCTTTTTTCGCACAACCTCCTTCACTGCCAACACGGCTCCAGTAAAGATATCAAGGGTACAGAAATAAAAAAAAAAAAAAATGATGGGTGGGAAGGGGGAGGGGGGTTAGGGTTAACAAGTAAAAATGCATTTGCTTTTTGGCTCTACGTTTTAGAATGTGTAACATTTTAAAGATTGGTGATGAATTTCTATGCAACATTTAACACAATAAAGAAACCTGGCTGATTTTGATATGAGATAGATTTAGAGGGACTTCTGGCCTTTGAGGGCAACAAAACAACCCATAAATGTCAAGCACGTATCATATCTTGAACTTCATTCCATAAATCATTTGCAAAAGCATATCCCAGACATAAAAACTTTCAGGGCAATAACATATATATATATATACACACACACTAAGCATTCTTTTTCCCTCTCCAGATATCATATAAACAAAAATCAAACCGGTGCACTCAGCCATATATACAATTACAGACCTGAAATAAGCAAAACTTTCAAGGCAGTAAAAGGTGCATCTATGATTACCTCGACACCTTGAGTAATATTGCTTGAGGATTTTGGTTTCAATTGAAGCTCATCATGACATGAAGCACAAGAATCCCTACTGCAAATGAAATGATGGAAGACTTGCAAACCGGTCATGATGTTCATATTCCGAGCCATGGATCAATGAACTGTGAGGAGTGGGTTAAAAAGGCTAGATATTGGGTGGCTTCTCTTAGAAACGAAATAAATTGTAACAAGCTCCTACATGTTTACGAAATTTATGTAAGCAAAGTAGATGGCGTATAATATCTCCAGTGGTCGGGGTTTCAAGACAAATTGCACAAGGTTCTTCGAAACTATTAGTCTGCGTGACAAGGAAAACAGAACAAAATTAATAGCAAGCTAGCTTGAATATCTACTTACCGTTGTGCAACTCAGAACAGACATGCAACAAAAAGCGACGTATAATATTAAATTGATAAAACTAGCGCGGTGTAATTGTAAAAAAGTGGATTGCGAATATCACCTCCCTTAGTATAAAAGTATCTACTCAAAATTATTTTTATTTTTACCAATTAAAACTATTTTCAATGTAATTATGGAAGTATAATCCTCTTTCGCTTTGACTTATCAGACGGGACAATTAATAATATAGAACATTTCTAAATAAAAAAATAGACAACTAATATGAGGATATAAAGGAAGTAATAAGGAATAGGCATTGTGAATTCTGTGATTTTAAAATACTTGTTATAGACACATTTATAATCTCTTTGAAGTTCAAAATCTTCTATGTGACTTAATGATATTTTATCTCCTTTTAAATAATTGGTAGAACAATTGGAGTCTCCAAGAGGGTTTTGAGAGTCAAATATTATAATACACACAACTGGCTAGAAAAATGTTTGCTTCTTTGCGTACCTGGTTCACAAACCCATAGTTTTTCTTCCAGGCTCTTTTGCTAAAAAAGGATGATCCTCTAGGAGAATCATCATCTTCAGAAACCAAATCAATCAGAATCGGATGATTCATAACCCCTTTTCCTTTGACTCTGGGAGAATTATCGTCTTCAGAAACTAAATCAATGAGAATCGGAAGACTATCCACTGCTTTTTCTTTACAAGCATCCACTGCTTTTTCTTTACATTTACCTTTATAATTATTGCCTGATGACATTGAAGGGCATGCCACGCCATTTAAAGAAGAATTTCCTAATGCTCCAAATGGGAAGCCCAAACTTCTGCTGTGCCCATTGCCAATAACCACATTACCCCTGTCTCTTAAATAGTTTCTAACCCCTCCATCAGAAGAATTAGTGTTTCCTGAACGACCAGTCAGTGATGAATTACCTTCATTTTCGATACAATCCTTCCCATCAACATTCTTCTTAGCTAATCTTCCAGGGGTTTGAAGAACCTCTACTTCCTCATCAATATTAATGTAATCCATATTCTGCATAACATAAAGAAAGAAGCATGATAAATAAAATAAAAAATCGAGTGAAAAGAATAAGCGCACCTAGATCAATAAAGGTTTAATAAAAGGTCCATACATATAATTTATAATAAAAGAAAGACAAATGTTTAACATAAAGCAAGATTACATTTATACATTTCTCCCTGTAACAAGCATGATAAATTACATACATATACAAGAAAAATGATATTTGGGCACCAATGTTGTAATCTTGCACTCCCCTTATTTATTTATTTTTAATGACCAAATTATCCTTCAAAATCGATTGCAAAATTATTTTTTGGGATAATTGTGGACCACGAGATGCTTTTAAAGGACATTTTTTTTTTTTTTAAGGAAAAGAAAGTAAGCCGAATGCAGGAGTACAAAAGGGGAGTGCAAAGAAAAATACTTACCTCCTTACTCACCACAAAGTAGATTATTTTTCTTTCTTTTTTTTTTTTTTGATATATTTTTTTAATAAAGTGAAAAAGCAGTTTCCTATAGTATTTTAGAACTTCAAAAGGTTTAGTGTATATAGGAAGCATCCATGGTGACAGAAATATCAGAATTTTCAAAGTTCAGGGGAAAATTTTGAGCCTTAATTGCTACAGTATCATTTAAAAAAAAAAAAAAAAACTGCTCTTAAAACGGTTTCAGTTCTAGGTAAAAGGGAGATGGTCATCTTGAAACTGAACCATTGATAGTGAAATTGTTGCAGTATATTCCAGAACTCCTACCAAATATGCTATGGCGTCATTTCCATTTTTGAAAATTTAAAGCACATTTCAAAAACAATGCAAACAAACCAGAGATGGTTCTTCTATTAGCCATAAAAGAGGGAAAGTATTCAAAATCAAACAGATTTGAATAAAGATTTGAAGATGATGTTAAAGCTTTGCTTCTTGCATTCATCAACTATAAGAGAGCTATTATAATGTTTTCCACAGAAAGTGATGTAAACATAAAAAAATTCCTTTGACAACATAGAACAGAAACACTAGTATAAGTTTCATTCTCCATAATTACAAGGTGACAACAACCACAATGCAAAAATTCCAAATCAAAATACTAGTACACTTAATGCTAATGAGAAAAATGACATTTTGATGTGCAAATTAAAAAATAATAGTAGATTCCCAGAATAATAATAATAATATTAAATAATAAAAAATCAAATATTTCCCTTAAAAAAAAGGATATAAACTTTATCAAATATAAAATAAACCTATAACACAATATACATACATCCTTGCATCTCTACACAAAGAAATAGAAACATAATCCAATGCATGAATAGATCGAAATGCATATAATCTCGGGGTGGCAAACGGACGGGCTGAATACGGGTCAACTCTTAATGACCCAATTAATTACCCATTTTCTTTTCTTTTTTTAGAAAACAACATTCTTACTAATATGTTTTTTAGTCTAATTCCATCATTATTTACTAAAAGATTTGAAAAAAAAAATCATTTTGAATTATTATTCAAGAGGGTTGAATGTAAGTAGGTCGACAATACCCAACTAATCTATGTATATTCTACAATCTTTTATTAAGAATTCTTTAAATTTTATATCCATTTTTATGAAATTTCAACATTCAATTTATGTGAAGTCAATGTAGTATGAGTTTACCACAATTTTCTCATAACTCAACCTATTTTTTA